TACATCCATGATCCTGCCTTGCGAGATTCGAACCCAGGACTTATCGGTCTCGCATGCGTGCGCCTGACCACTAGATCACTGAGCCGGCCGGCATCCAACAATGTTAATGTCTAACTTCAACTAATCCACGAAATTAAGCGACATATCCACTATTGTCATAAATGAGTTACTATCACAAGAGACCCAGTTGAACTTCTCTGGTCACTGCTTCACAATAGAACTCCAGGATATACCTCTTTAAGTCAGTCGGAACGGCAGTTCAGTGCTTACACCTTTTCCATGGTGATCTAGCTTCAGTTGACACATGATCTCAACTATGGAAATTACTATAATATCCACAAAATAATCGTTTAACTTTTCTCCGAATGTCATACAATAATGTAAATAATGCTAGTTACCATCGTGGTTTCGGTTGAATATCCTACAAATCAACTTCAACCAGCATTTTATAAAAGAGTATGAATGCACTATATGGTTAACACACATACACACATAATTAATTAGTTTAAGTAAATCTGAATAAATGAAACAATATTGCAATATGGGTATCAATAGAAAGTAAATATTATATAGAGTGAAGTGAAGGATACCTTTTTTTGTAATCGTTCTTGCCTGATTCTCCATATTGTCCGATTTTAAATATTTATAGAGCAATATACATACACAACATCATATATAATAATAGTCTAGTGTTTCAGTATATTGACATTTCAGGAATCATTCTATTTAACTCCTTAAGTTTACATCAGATCCAATCTATTCTGTCATACTTTTTTATATGGTATTCTGATGTTCTCTTTAAAGAATGGTAGATCTACCCATGTCTATTGTTGTAAAATCCGGTATTAAGAATTCCACTTAGTCACTAATTATTAAAACTGGTTAATTAAAAATTAATAAAATTATTCAATGGTAAGTATATCACTTCTCTCAGATACTTTAAAATTGATTCCCCTGTAAAAGTTTCAAATTAATGGGATGTATAATATCAAAAGGGATGTTTTTAGAGATTTTAGTAATTCAGTAGTTGAATTCATCAGTCAATTAGAGCAAGACCACCATGAAAAACCTGGAAATATTGGACGGCCTTTTCACCTTAATATGGAACTGTTGGTTTCTAATCTCGTCTATGGGATTGTAGATACGCACCGTTGAGGAGTCCCACAATAGGACGAAACAATCTTCAATTGTTTCCAGGTTTTCCATGGTGGTCTAGCTTCATGCATTCAACTATTGAATGTAGAATAACTAATGTTTATTTTTATTCATGAAAAAAGCGATATTATCCGCTACACTTTAAACTAATATCTATTTTTTATCCAATAATGATTAATCAGCTATGCAAATTATATAAAATGATTCAATTGACTAATTAATGTATATATATAAATGATTAGAGTTGTTTGTCGGATCCGCTTCTCTTCATCTCTTCTTTTGGTTTTCAATTAAAACTTTAATGATTAGTTACAATATGTTACATATCTAGACTGTTTTTGTTTTGTTTTGTTTTGTCTTTTGTTTCATTCCTTAACTAATTGTACTTTTCAAAGTTTAATTTTGATTTAGAAATTTATTGTTTAAATAAAGTAACTCCGTTAAAATAAGATGTTATTATAGTAACACTTGAAATAGAGTCAATGTTCCGACATGATCTATTCAATAAAGAGACAAATTGATTTACTATGGGTTAGTAGCTATGACATATTATTAACTTAATTTGTTGGTGAAAAGATCGTTTGTTTGTTTGTTTGTGTGTGTGTGAGAGAGAGAGAGAAAGGGAGATCGTTTGTGCTTTCCGATAGTTGATTTCCGGTTACGATATATGCTAATGAAATGAACATGGAAAAAGAAATCATCTACCGATATGAATATTACATATGGTATTAATAGAATTCTGTGTGAATTTTTTTTTCTGAAATTGCTTATTCCTGACAACATTGTGAGAGGAACTCAGTACTTCATCAGTTAGTCAGGTATAATCCACATAGAGCCTGAAATAAATGCTTATTATTCTAAAATTCCATATAGTATTAGCGCGATGATACGAGATAACTAAATATGAACATCAAAATAGTCACAATAGACATGTTAGTGAGAAAAAGTAAATACTGGATGTTTCGAGTAGACAGAATAAAAAGATAAGCATGGAGGATTGAACGCAAAACTTTAGGTCGATGACAAGATAAAGATATGATGCTTTGATCAAGTCTTACCGATTACGAGTCACATCGCTCAATGTTTCCAATCTCATTAACCCTAATAAGATAGTCTGAATCTATCAACGTGGTTGGACCACGTATTGCGTATGACTTAACTGCGATTACCACGACACACAATGCTGACTAGTGTTAGAGACGGCTAGAAGAAAGTTAGGGGTGGCCAAACAAAAACGTGACATCAGTCCTTCAAGTCACACACTTCTAGTCTTAGCCATATTGGTAGATGCACACTACTTGGTTGGCCTCCACGTAACTATCGTAACCAATGGTTGGAGACTGTGTGTGAAATAGCTCAGAATCCATCAAAATGGTATCGGTGTCGGTGTACATATACACTCTCTGTCTTCCCTTACACTATGAGATTGAAATCGCTTCATATATTTCTTTCTACGAACTAGTTCCTTCTTCCTGTATTACATCCTTATATGCATCCTTTCTTTCATATATTACCACCAGTGAATTAACTACTTCTATGAATCCGGTGTTTATCTTGTTGTGCTCATGAGTGAGGTATGGCAACGTGGACAGATGCATATATGTTTCTGGTCCTCCTTTGTAGCTGACTGACTGACTGACTGATTAACGTGACTTAGTTCGGCATGCAATGATCTCATGGACTGATGTTACTCATTCTTTTGGCCTCTTCTATTTTTTTTCAAATGACGCCTACATGTAATATCGCATTTCCAGATAGGAGGTAGGTGGACATACATAGCACATGTTCAAGATAACTTATTTGATAAAATTTCACAACGACGCCAACCATTATATCATTTTCACCAATTATTCTATGTCCAACTTCAGTATTCTCAGCTAGGTTATTTCACGATAAGTGATAAATGCTTGGAAGACATATGTTTTCAAATTTCTACAACTCATGCATCTCCTAAACATAGTCACATACATTAGTTTCAATAAAAAGACAGACATATTTTTCAAATTTATTTATGCGTTCCAAATTACTCTACAAGTAACAGACTTTCGACCCAGTGATTCGAAGATAACTAACGCATCATCAGAATTTTATATTCCCACTCAATGCAGTGTAAAATATCGTCTGTGTGCATCTAATGTTCTAAAACCAAGCAGTTATTCAAAGACTTTTGGTTTTAGCAAGTCTATGAATGCTCTTGTTAATAATTATGAACTCTTAAAATATCATACAAAAAGAGTTTGTTCAATCAATTTGTATTTGAGCAAGTTTATCCATCAAATGTATCATTCTTATTTGTTCAGATATTTTGTAGGTTTTCATGTGTATCCATCTTATCTAAGACCTTTGTAAATTATAATAATATACATTTTGTTGTGTTCTTGGCTAGTGAATGTTTATTATCTACACTCTATTTGTAGTTTATACATGATTTACTTAAAGTAAAGATTGAGTCTTCGTGTATTCACTAGTTTCAGCTGTAGTACCAATATCTGTATCTACTTTATTTTTCTCTACCTGGCTGCAGTGTATTCACAAGTATGAAATGTATGTTTGTATAGCTTCGATAAGGAAAAACACGAGGAAACTTATTCATGCGTCAGTATTGTCGAATTTTTTTTTGTCTCCACATTGTCATTTTCACAATAACCATCTTAATATGTTGAAAACAATGAAAGTTAGATTTACATTCATCAAATTATGTCAACTATTTATTCTTTTTTTAATTGAGATTATCAGTGGTTTAATATATATACATTCCACTCAGTTGATGTTCCTTCCGGAAATACCATACCATAAATTGACATCAGAATATTACTTTAAGTAGAAGGAATCATTTTATAGTTTCTTAATATATTGAAATAGAATGATATTTGATGGGGATTTACTCTTAAAATAGCATTAGAAGAATGAAGTTTGGTGTAAGTGAATAGAAAAGTCTTGCAAGCATTAGTGTTATGATTTAAAGTTACAAGTCAGAATTAAGATTTAGGACTAAGAGTCAGGGTTAATATTAAGAGTAGTGATTCGGAATTAAGTAAAAGAATGTTTTGTATTCATATGGATGAATATTTGCTCATTGATCTTTAGTAGTAAGAACGTTGAAGTTATCTATAAAATTCTGAAATCAGTATCTTTATTCTTTAATGTTCTCATGTTTGCCAATTTTAAAAGTTAGTTTTGATGACTGTTCATGCGAAAAATTGGTTTGCAGGTTAACCGATTTCATTCATACTGGTGATTGTTTTTCACTGTTCTTAAGGGCCATTGTTATTGGGACATTATAATGCTAACACTAATAAGTTTGACTGTCGTGTAAGCGGAATAGGTCAACTTTGGCCTGTTCGTGCTGTGCATAATTGATTCACGCGATCATTGATCGGAATAACTATATATATATGACGTGAATGTGTATATGAATGGTTCATCAGGGTGCTTGGTACCTGTGTGGTTGCGTCACAGGATTGAGCTGTACTATTCAGATTGTAACGTTAATCCTATACAGTGTCTGGTTCTCTTGTTAAATGGGATTGAGCTGTCCTGTTTCGGTTGTCACGTGAAAGTCTGAATGGTGTCTGGTTCTCCTGAAAACCAATGTAAAATTACCCTGGCCCACAAGGGTACATTATATATATGAGTAATGATGGGTTTAATTTAACTTTTTAATAAGATACAAACTATCTGCCAACGCACTTTTAATTATGACCTAAAATTCACTAGTCTCTAACTTGAATCCGACTGGTTCTTCAGTAAGATATACATTTCTATCTATCTTTTGAGGTTGTAGTTTATCATCGTTGTTAAATTATATTATTATGATAAGCATTAGTATTTTTTTAATTTCCTAGGTAAACCTTTACATTGTTGGGTACCACAAGAATTCACAAGTTCATGGGAAGATTATGCTGAAAATATTTGTTGGGTACAAAATACTTATTTTCTTTTACCAAATGAAGCTATACCAGAAGATGATTTTGAAATGTTAAGAGTACGACATATATCATATTATCAATGGGTAGCAATTATATTAGCTGGACAAGCTATGATGGCATGGGTACCGCATGTATTATGGCGAGTTTGGTCAAAACGTGTACCTGTTCTATTAAAAAATGCACGTGAAGCTGCTGTACCTGATAAAGAAGTACGACATAAAGCTATTAGTTGTCTTGTAGCTGCATTAGAAGAAATTTCTGAAGCATCAAAACGTTATCGACGTACTCGGGGAATATTTCAACGTTGTTTAGGTGGTCCACCACCGACTACACGTATTACATTATTATTTCTAATTGTACGTATATTTTTTATTGCAAACAATATTGGACAAATTTATGTTATGAAACATTTTATTGGAACAAATGATACATTATTTGGTTTACATGTATTTCAAGAATTATTAATCGGTAGTGAATGGGAAGTTAGCGGTTTATTTCCACGTGTAACATATTGTGATGTAAAAGTTAGAAAATTGGGACAATTAAAACCTGCATCGTAAGTTCTATTAAATTACATTTGATTTGATTTCATTTATGTTTTTTGTGTTATTTCTGATTTAGTTTGTTAAAGTTCAAATGAGACTTGAAGTGGAATTTATGAAATACATATTGTCCTCTTTTATCATTTTGATGTACTTACATCTCAGTGTAGATATTCTCAATCTCATTTAAACCCAGAATGCTTCCAATACCAGGAATAATCCAGCCATACTTGAATTTGTGGTTTAATGATAATATCAAAGATATCCTTTCAGAAAGTACGTATCCTGATAGAAACAAATAAAAAAAACCATACAAATCAAATTGTTATAGGTAGTATGTTATGTTTCCAGCTTGCACGATTATTGTGAAATACGCTTGCCAAATTTAGATACGCTGAGTTATACGACTTAACTAATGACACATATTCCAGTACGGACAGCTTAGACTTCCGATTGGTTCTCTTTTCGCCTTGCCCTGCCTGTTAAGTCCAGAACACTAATCTCAACCTTTGCGATACTAGTCATATATTCCAAACATACTGGGTTTATATACAAGTAATATCAGACCACACCACACCATAAAATAGAAAGCAACATCTGCATAAGATCAAGATGAGAAGTGTCTGTGATTGTGACGGACTGTTACTGATAAATTGGGAATATCTTTGGAATAGTAAATAGTGGAGTTCAACCAGGTCTGTTGTGAGATACCAACTCACTGAAGACAATGGTATACGGTGGCGCAGCCTCGTGGATTGGTTGAAGTTAGACATTAACACCACTGGATGCCGGCCGGTTCAGTGGTCTAGTTGGTTAAGCGCCTGGCGCGAGACTGATAGATCCTGGGTTCGAATCTCGCGGGAGGCGGGATCATGGGTGCGCACTGCTGAGGAGTCCCATACTGGGACTAAACGGCCGTCCAGTGCTTCCAGGTTTTCCATGGTGGTCTAGCTTCAATTGACTCATGATTTCAACCAGTGAAATTTCTAAAACAAAAGATCTCCACAAAACGCATTCTGATAGTATGATAATAGTCAATAGGTCAAATAAAAGCTTATAATAAGAGGAATATCAGTATGAATAGTTTAGTATCTTAACAGTTATACAATAATATTAGTTCATAAATAATTCTTAACATTTACCATTCATTTATTATCGTCCGGATATGACACATTACTTAGAATTTTCTTAAGTTTAACATGACTTAGTGACAGTGGACAGAATTAATTTACACTATGGAACGATTTTAGATGGATAAATATTAAAAACAAGGAACAATTAGAAAGCGTATGAGTGTAAGAAGACTTTGATAATTCCTACAAACAGTAAACGGAAATGCGGAAAATGTTCAAAATACTCCGGCTAATCAACATTTTTCAGAGAGTTTCATTAGATTTGTCTCATGCCAATTCGGTAGTTAACAGTTTGTTATACTTTCCAGAAGCTTTTACAATAAATAGATTACATAGAGTCCTAAAATTAATCACATTTTTTTTACATAAGCTTGCTTCCGAAATACGTTTCCACCAAGATCTCACGATTTCAGTTTACTATTTAAAGACATATATGAGGTTGGGAATTCAATACATAAGCGTTCAAATACAAAGTATATCACCTAGTTTCATAAATCGAATCTGATGTGACATTTATTCATAATATACATTCACTTAAATACTTCAGGTTAACTATCGTTTACTTAGGGTCTAATATCTAATCATCTGTACAAAACAACACACTAAGTCATATTTGAATATTTCACATTGGAAATACAATAACAAGTTTCAAAGTGTAAATACATAACGGGTTCTAGATATATCGACCAAATATCTTTCTTCTCAACAATCATGTTTTTTTTAATCGAGAAATATTTATTACTGATAGGTTATATTGGTCATGATGAAATAACAAATTCTATTCACCTATCATTTACATTGTGGGTTGAAATGTATTGAAATATTGTTATGTTACTTGTTGGTGAGATGGATTTTTGTGTGTTTTGTTAATCAGAGTATGTTTATAATGTACAAAAATCTACTTTTACAAGTGTGTCTTTAAGTAGTTTCTACAGTAATAATGTTTGCAAACATTATAAGCGATGAATAATTATCATTATTATTCACTGGTGAATTGGATTGTCATTTTCATAGGAACCATAATCATAAGAAGAACATTTATGAACTTTTCACTTTTGAAAAATACATAGGTCTATTCATGAACAATGTTTGAGCTTACAAAACGAAACATATATTTGATTTATACTTGTACAATACGGATAGAAATTGTGATTTATAGTGAAATATGGGATGCGCGGGTTTATTCTTGTTAGTTTTCTGTGTCTGGATACCAATGTTCACATTGGAAATCGAATCCAACACGAACGAGTTGTTTATTTTACAGGCATTTAATCCAAATAAATTATTCAAACTCTACAAATATGTTTATGTAACGATTTTAGGCACTGGCTATATAGACAATATTTTAACGCTTGATGCAATTGATATCAGATTCGGGTACCCGTTGCTAGTTACCATCATAATGTTACAAGTTTAAAATGTTTACTGAATTGTGTTTCTTTCCATTCACTTCGACTAGAGACTTGCTTTGGATTATTGTTGAATATCTTGTTCTTTGCGGCTAATTTATAAATGTATAACTATAATAGTTCCTTCTTCATAAGGAATACACTTTCTGCCTGCCATGGTCTTTATTCCTATTTTACTTTTGAATAGATACAAATACTTGACCTGGTTTTTTTATGATTTCCATTGACTATTACATAACATGTAGTTAATCTCTCTTCAGTTATCATACCTGTAATATCGCATTAGTCAAATCAAAGGTCTCCTTTATTCTTCTACTCAAATATAACACTGATTACTAACCACTATAAAAAACATAAACATACAGATGATCACACATTCGGTGTGGCTAAACGGTCATATCCGTGAATGTTGACCAAATGGCATGAATTCGGTATCTAACAAGGAACATTCATGTTCGCCCTCTTACAAATATGCCTTCAAGCGTTCACTTGATATTAATAACTGACTACAATAATAGATACTATTTAACTTACTAGCCAAATTAGATATTAACACCTTTGAGCAACCGTTTATTAGTCTAGAAGTCAAGCGTTAGCGCATGAGACTGGATTCGATTCTTGCACAAGGAATCATGAATGTTTACTGTTTAACCGTTCCATAATAGCACGAAATGACTATTCTAAGCTTCCAGGTTTTTAATAGTGGTCTAAATTTGATCAGTTCATGATTTCGATGAAAGTTAATTTGTAGTTGATTAATCCATGAGTAGTGATCTATGTAATACTTGTCTAAACTTCTAGCGTTCCAATTCTATCCATCCAATATATTTCGACGTTAAGTGTTTCGTTAAGGTTAGAGATAAGTCATATTAACAAACTTTAACTACTATGAAAACTAGATCCTTTATTTCTGTTTTACTATTTCAAACCACGTAACATGTCAACACACGTTAATCTATAAGTAACTCAGTCAATACATCATTAATAAAAGATGATGATATTGTCTTACTGTGCGATAATGCCCAAGGCATGCAATCCGCACTTAATCAGTTAGCAATCAGTGTCCGTAGGTATGGTATGTGCTTTGCACCTTCGAAATGCAAAGTACTTCTACAAGACTGGCAGGATTCCAATCCTGTACTCACCCTGGATGGTGAGCAGATAGACGTGGTCGAGAAGTTCTTGTATCTGGGTAGCTGCATAAGTGCTGGTGGGGGTGTGAGTGATGAGATCAATGCACGTATAGTGAAAGCCAGAGCAGCTTATGCCAATCTGGGCCATCTATGGCGCCTTCGTGATGTTAGTCTGGCCGTAAAAGGTCGGATCTACAACGCGTCAGTGAGAGCAGTTTTGCTCTATGCTTGTGAAACCTGGTCTCTCCGAGTTGAGGACGTTAGAAGACTCTCTGTGTTTGATCACCGTTGTCTCCGAAGGCTTGCTGACATCCAGTGGCAACACCATGTCAGTAATGCAGAGGTTCGGCATCGTGTGTTCGGGCACAGAGACGATAATGCAATTAGTGTCACCATCTTCAAATACCAACTTCGGTGGCTTGGACATGTTCTACGAATGTCGTTCCAGAGAATTACACGTCGTGCATTATTTGCCGACTCTGGGACTGGTTAGAAGAATCGGAGAGGTGGTCAGTACATGTCATGGTGTTGTGGCATGAAAGAAAGCTGCAAAGGACTGGCTTCTGTTGGTCCTTCTCGACTCCCTGGCTGGGGTCAGAGAGATGGTGCAACACAGTAGCTAGAGACGTTATCAGATATGGCTGGTTTTACCTTTCCTTTCCCCCATTATTAATATTATTATTATTGCACTACCTTACACCAATCTGTTCGTTATTGTTCTCTTTTTCTTTCGCACTCCTTATTTTTTTCCTTCTCTTTAAATTCTCATTGTTTTGTGTTGTGCAAATATGCTTGGTTACCTCTTGTACCAATATTTATGTGCTCAAATAAATAAATAAAATAAAAGATGAGCATTCAAGACTTTATTACTGTCATTTTAAGTTAGTTCAGTACTCATTTCATCAATCTTCAATGGTAAGAAATTATGGTAGTAATAATAATAATAGTAATAACATTTTATCTTACAATCAAAAGTGATAGCAACAAAAAAGACGCAGCAAATGTTTAGGTCATACTGATTTGTATTTATTAAAAGGAAATGATAACTACACCAAAGAAATAATTTGTCTTTTTGTCTCTCATCTCTTACTTATATCTAAAATGTACCAAAATAAATTTTACAAAAAATTACTTTCATCTTTTCTGATGTTCTACTAACCTTGAATGTTTATGTCATATATGTATATTACAATATGTTTACACCACCTTTCTCTTTTTCTTCCCCCCCTCCTCTTTCTTTTTTCATTTACTCTATAATTTAATCTATATGATATTCATCTATTCAGTTAACTTTTGGCCTAGTTACTATTCCATCTTCGGTTGTATCTTACCACACACA